ACGGCCCGCTCTATTGGAGTTTGACCCCGCCATGTTACAAATGCAGCGAGTTGTAAACAAGTCGAGGTCACCGCCAGTCAGTCATGAATAGTCGGCATAATCTTCAAGCAGATGTTAGGGGAGGCTAAGTCGTTGTGTTTCCCTTCTTTCTGTGACAACTGGCTGGCCTCCTCGGCTCACCTTAACAAGGAAGCCAGGTCGCCAAAAAGCCTCGCTGGCAGCCGGAGTTCCGCATCACTGGTGCAGGCTCGGCCTTCAGGGAAGATTGTAATACATACTTGAAGGAGTCGTCTGGTTAACGAGACTATTCACAATGAACAAGACCACTTGCTGGCTTCGTGATCAAGATCAGTACCAAATAATTTCTCCAGTGTAGTCTAGGTGTATGTATAGACGTTTAGAGAGCTTTTGCAGTCATTACTGAAGACTCAGGAACCATTATAAATGGAACACATCGTCCGGCTGCCATAGGAACATGGACAAGTTGATACAGGTAAGGCGTGTCAGGTAAGTGCCTCTGTCATACGTGTGATACTACCTTCAGGCAATGCCGGTGTTGATGCGTTTGTTCAACCGGGTCAGTGTTGACAATCTTGCCACAGCATGTGGGCCTGTGAAGTAGGGGTTAGACGCGGGTTCGGGTAGCAGTCTGTTAGTAGTGTTAGGGGTGGGCCATGTGTGCACGTGTATGAACGGACGAAGTCCATAACAACCTTTTAAAACGCCTTCTGGAACAATAAATGGTTGCCAGTTTGACAACCTGAGTCCGTATCGTAGGCATTCACGTTGCACGGAGAAAAAGTACTACGAAAGGGGCATTCGGGAGGTGTTTGTGTGTAATAGACAAAATTTGTGAGTTCACCATCATCAAAATTCTGTCTCCCAATAAATGCCAACTTTGTTACAAGTGTCTCCGTCTGAGGTAAGGGTAAAATCGCTTACAGCTGCTTAGGCTTTGAGGAGGTTTCATAGACGATTCATGTCCTTGGTAACCGCAAGGCCCAGCTTCTCAAGGCCGAACGCGTTAGCATTGACATAATCTCCGACGGTATAACCTGATATGACATGGCACAGGGCACGCTGTAGAATGCAGCGACTGACATCATTTATGATGCATGAAGCTATCCATGATATTGATGATCAGCCTATGGTTCGATGAGAACTTGTGAAGATCTCTCTTGTCTTCTCTATCGACCGTATTGGCACCACAGCCATGACGATATAACAACCAGTTTTCTTCACTCTTCTCGGTTTCCTGCTCCCCTTGACGTTTCACTCATAATTTAGTGCACATGTTTCTATGGTACTTTAATTACATGATGATACTTCTAATACCTTGTTAATATTACCTTACATGACACAACGCATTCAACATCCAGAAAAATGATGTGATACGACCCTGATACTCACAGTACATGTGCAGCAGAATACAATACAGCACAAAATACAACACAATGCCGAATAATAAAGTATCTCTACACCTTTATTCTACCTGTCCATGACCCTATGATATAGCTTGAATGAACTCGGATATCCTTTTCCAGATGAAGTCAATGCAGGAATTCCCGGGGGAGAGGGTGCGTGATGGCTGACATGCCACCTTCGGGGACGTGTCTACTCTCCAAGCAGAGGTGTGGGTTCTGGCTTATTTTTGGCGTGTTTTAGGCTTTTTTATGGGGCTTTCTTTTTTTGCACTGGAAGTTTTTTATGAAAAAAAAAAGATTCCAGTGCAAAAAAAGAAAGCCCGATAAAAAAGGCCCCCAAAAACATGCCAAAAATAAACCAAAACCCACACCTCTGCTTGGAGAGTAGGACGTGACGACAATGATATTTTAAACGTATCCAATGCAATTTCAGGGCGGCAAAGCCGGATTTTCAAACTCAATTTTCTGGTCATTCTTTTAATGTGGTAGGTTGAATCAATCCTATCCCATACTAGCATGATGACATCTGTGAGGCAAAAATGTGATGTCACTGACGGAAAACAGTTTTGTGTGGTTGAAATATGCTGGTTTAAGCTATTTATGGGCCGTATCGATAGACAATATGGACTCCTCACGTGGCTTAGAACACTTTCTGGGCTATTTCAAGCGCCAGAAGTATGGAATGACGACGAAACTGTACTATGAAATGGCAGTTAATGTCAATATCCGCACAGATTTCCTAGAAGCTTTTCCAAAATAGGCTTTGTTCTTTCGCCCTGTAATTGCACTGGGTGCATTGCACTTAATATCAATGGAGTAACTATTTTGTATTAAAATACTGAACACCCGCCCACACATACATCCGTGTTGTACCATACACCTGCCAATCATCATCAACAACGCTGTCCAAGATGGCGAAAAGAAAATATCAATGTGTGGAGCCCTCTTCATATTTTGCGTAGTTATCATTTTGAATCATAATCTCGCATTTTGTTGCACAAAGGATTCAATAACAGCAGTAGGGGTTAAGTTTTCAAAAATTGAGTGTGGTGTGTCCTAGCACGAGCAGTGTGGCGCAGTGGAAGCGTGCTGGGTCCAGAACCCAGAGGTCGGTGGATCGAAACCACCCGCTGCTACACAGGATACGCTACTGTTTCCCTCAGCTAACAGTTTTGTCACATTTCATAACAAAGGTAATTGTATTACACGGTATATAGTATATCGACTATATTATATAGCCTTGCCTGCGTCCCTCAAAATTCAGGAAAAGCGCGTAATTTTGACGGACCTGATTGGACCTTCTTGGATGAACTGCTTGTTTTGATTAACAGCCAGGGTTGTATATTGTAATGCTATGCTTCGTTGACGTACACGTGAAGTAAATGATATTGGCCACTGCTACTAGCGTTAGGTGTATTTGACATGGAGGAAAGTTACCACACAAAATACTAGTACACGTTTGATGCGTGTTATCATAAAGCTCATCGTCTATATTTCTACTTTATGTTGTGTTGGTGCGCAGAAGGTCCTGTATGTCTATACTAATAATCAGGTGGCCGTCAATTTCAGTCCTCTGACGCAAATAACGACGCTACGACAAGTCTGGTGACGTCACTGGCTATAAGTAAAGCTGAATATTCACGATGAACAATTTCCTTGTCCAGTTTAGTCCATACATGTCTATCATGTTGTTGAAATACTGTGTACTTGTACATAGTCAAAATTAGTAAACATCGGGTGTAGACAAATTTGTGAATTATCAACTTGTATTACTAAATCTAACCTTATATGCAACATTTTTAGGGAACTTGAATATCAGCGCTAAATGTAAATGTCTTTAGATGTATACATCTGTCCATTACAGGCTGGTCACCTTGAACCAGCCATAGCCATTTTTCTTCATTGCATGCATCATACAAATACATGCGACATGTCACAATATTCTTTAGAATTGCACTAATCGAGTCGTTTTCCTCTATTTTCTATTTAAACTGAAATTCTCCCGTTTAGCTAAGCTTTACGCCAAAACGTTTTCCGTGGAAAGAAACCGCATGAGCAGCGACAAAACTAATTTTACACACACGTATATGCCGTTACGAAATGAGCACCAGCCGGATGTGCAAATGCTGTAAACAGGGGTCAACGTCACAGCTGCGATACAGACGCTCGGTGCTAGGTGCGCAGCATATATTTGGCCTATTTTCAGGGACAGTGGCGAAGGGAAGGCCAGCTAGCCACACTCCCAAGGACGCTGGTTACGTAAGAATTGATAAGTCTATCAATAGCGCGATGTAGGCGGAGAAAACTTCCAACAGGCACATAAGAACAGCGCTTAGAGAAGAAAGAACTCAAGACGCCCAGTTGCCAACACTTTCCGACAGGGAATTAACAACGATGTCTTCTTGAAAATTATAAAGGCTACTCCCCCCGAGGCCTCACGGAGAATGTAACAGCTATTCAGACGTACATTACATATGCATACCTACACAGATGGCACCCTTTCTTTCTTGTAGTTTTCACCCAATGAAAGATTATGAATACATGTGAATATTCCACCTCGACCACAAACTCGGAAATTTGAGAACAGACTGTGCCTCTGTGGAACGAATCATTATCGTTTCTCACAAGCTCTGCGTTGTGCCCAGTTCAATGCCATTTCCCTGCCAATCGACCGAGCGAACGTCAACCGAGAGAGGGTACTAAAGCTAAAACGGGTGCCATCCAGGCTATGAATATGTACCACAGCTGTCAACAACTGTATATAATAACGGGCAATCCACTGTTGAATCTGAGGCTTGAGGTTTATATGAATTAAATCGCAGTTTATATGAATTAAAATTTGATAAAGTTGGCTACAAAGTATACAGTTTGGAGTCTTAACTTAAAATCTTTGCCCCAGTCACCGTATTGTGTCCCAAGGACGGGACAGACTGTAGCCACCAGTTTAATATGTCTCCGTTCTATGAGCGAGTGGCAATGACTGATTCAGTGAACCCTGGACTGCATGGGAACCCAACGGCATATACAATTTGCAACCCCGGCTGGATTTATCTATATGCGGCTTGGAGCACTTCCAAAGATACCGCGTGTCACATTGAACGATGCCTCAACTTGAAGGTTTTCCTATATATTTGTAGCATTGACCTTTGTGTTGGTGCATGGGAGTGTCCCGGTATTTAGGTGAAGGTGCGTTATGGCTACACACACTGACTAGCCTGGAATCCAGGTTTGTTAGCTATAGATGGGAGAGCGAATTTTTGGGATCGAACCTACCAAACAAAACGCTGGATTTCAGGCTACACACTAACCAGGCGGTGATGCAGAATATTCATATTACGACACCGCCTAGCGTCAGGGTAAAGAACAGCACGCTTCTGTGATTACTATACCACAGGGGTTTGAAAACACACACACACATTGTGCCTTACATTTGCGTGTCAAATAGTGTTCCTCTACCACTTTGGATCAAAAGCATCACTTAATTTACATGTAATAGTAGAAAGCTCTAGTAAGTCTAGCAATACAGTATGCCCTATCTGGAAAAAAAGAATATCCAAGAGAATTGTGTAAGGAGTATTTCAAGTTTTTATTGCAAGACAGCATGGTAGTGATGTGATATGTATGACTGGGCTACATTTTTTGGCACATTTCGAATTACATTTTTCACCTATCTTCAGTTTTCAACATGTTGCCTGGTAGAATAGTTACCACACACTTTGAATGGCCAATATGTCTCACCCCAAACTTTACAAATTGTAAAAATACAACCAATATCTGAGCATTGAAAATATGCAGGGAATATGTGTTTGCATACATGTAGCTATATGGTTTACATTCCACATAAGAATTATACGTCCATGTCAGTATTTCAGCTTTTAACCTCAAAAACAAAGGAGATTTTGTGTCTGTCAGCAAGTAATACTTCTGAGTATGGAATATAGTCCTGCTGAAAGAAGATATGAACCCCTGGATGTATATGATACATCATTATCAAGTTTTCTGGACAGCCTTCAATCATGGGTGCTGCAACATTGAAAGTATGATCAACATGTATATCTGCATCAGGTGTAAAGTAAGAGACCAAGCAACATTACACACCAAAAAGCCTTTCCTACAAACATTTCAATTTCAGCATTTGATTTGGTATTTTGACTACAGCATGCAGATTCAGACTGCACATAATACTGGAAGTCCACACACTGAAACAAGTTTAAGTAGGTGAAGTTAAATATGTCTATATATGATTTTGAATATGTGTGTACAGTGTGTATCATATGTATCTTTGTTAAGCATAATCAAAACTAGACAATGGATACATGAAACTGATTACTAAGTAAATACCACAATTACTGATACAATGCATGTACATGGAAAGAAAAAGAAAACCTTTTTGAAGTCTTACATGTGTGTAACAGAATATAAGTACTAACAATGGCTTTTTAGTTAAACTAAACCTGTCAAGATTAGATGATGATAAAGCTGATTAAGTGAATTTGGTATCGCTGGCTCTATTACGTTGTATATTATATAGGGGGACCACACCTCACTTCAAAATCTAGCCACATTTTTAAGAAGAATGCTATACCTGTCTGTCATGGAAACTGTTCAATAAGAAAACAACATAAGGTTCTGCACTATATGGGCAACAAACAGTGACATACTCCTTTTTCTGCATAGCTAAAAAAATCTACATGATGTTATTTCCACATGACTGGGAATATGAGACTACTCCAAATAGGAGTCAGCAGATGAGCAGGTCAATGCTACACATGATTAGTATTGTAATACACTCCCTTCAGTTCTCATGGTGTGTCCATACATGTAGGTTGATTACATTGTACATACATGTCTGCATTCACAATTGTCACAGCATCATGGAAAACAGTGACACAGTCATGAGTTATGAGTCTATTGTGTATCTTGCACTCTTTAGGCTTACTACAATGTAGACATGCATAACTTAGGTAGCTGTTGGGCCTTACATCATTTATGGTACAACAACCACCAAGACAGAAAAAAACTGTACAAATTTTCTATACAAAAATTACAGGCATATAAAACAGCGTATTGAACATGACATTATTACAAATGTACAAGGATTACAAAGTATTTGATACATAAATTATGATAATGAGCATGCAGTATCAGCAATTGTGCTTGATACAGCGACTTATTAAGTACAAAACATATAAAATTGATTGGATTTTACTTAAGTACAAGGATACAGATAGCTAGAAGTGCATACAAGACGTGTAATCTTTCCAATATGAAGTTGTTACAAAAAATGTACCTATTGTCAATATTTTCCTGTGGCAGTAGTCTCAGTGGATGATCTGTTTGATACAACATATTGGCAGGAAACCAAACATGTCAAAATTAAGTACACATGTATATGACGCTGAAGTCTGAAGAGAGACACTGACTCAATTTAATTTTCCCTGGAAGAAGAATGAACAAAAAGAAGATACATGTATGTTGTATCTAGTTGTAGTTCACATGTACATCACTAGAGGGCAGTACTTCTCAGTAACAGCATATACCAGTATCTCATGGTTCTCATGTCTCAGTGAGAAAGACTACATTTTGTGAACTTTCACTTTGTACACTACATGTAATTGCAGCACATTACTGTTGTACAACAGCAAGTATTATATTCATATCAACCTCATTTAAACAGACTTGGATGACAGAGTGCTTAAAGTTAAACCTACTCCAGAGATATACACCTGTATTTGGACCCTGTTTCTCTTCCTGGGGATACACAGTCTGTGAATGCCATTCCTTCTACCCTGACCCCTCTCCTCCTACACCCATATCCCCTCTGGGTTTCTTGTGGTAGGTACAGCAGACTGGAGTTCCCGGGGGTTCAGGATCTTCCTGGCACTGTTGGGCCGTGATGTCACCAGAACTGTCTTCGTGTCTGAAGAAAACAGGAAGGTAGGATTAGCTGGGGTCATTTTATAAAGATGGAAATAATCACACTGACCATAAGACACACAGGTCTTCTTATTAAAGATATAGTCCAGGATGACAACATAAACTCAAGTCCTTTGTTTTCAATGCAGATAATAGCGCCTATTTCCAGGTAATGAAAAAATATGATGACAGCCAGGCTCAGTCAGTACAGTATACTCTGAAATGTGGTGATGATTTTTAGTATCAGATTCACAAAATTTGTTCACAATGAAGCATTCACAATGAGTTGATGGATGTTGGATGGGAGATGACATACGTCAGGCTAATCAGTTATGCCAGAAAGCAGAGTGATGTCACACAATAAGACTAAGGTTTGATAATGCAGAGTTCACTTTTCTCATCACTGTAAGCTGTTTGTACATAAAGGGTGAATATAATTAATGTGGCGGAGAATGTGGTTGATAAGGAAGTCCAAACAAAAAGATTCAAAATTCAAACTGTGAAGGGAGGAGGAGAATGTAGAGTTAATTTCTTTAGTTTGCTTGGAGAAAGAGGAAAAGGTGCAATCACATGTCAGCAGGATACAAAATTGAAGGCAGAAGAGGAAGGAGGAATGCAGTCACTAGAAATATACTCCCATTATTCTGTCCATAATGACAAAAGATACTTTCAAAAGTCTTTTGGACATAACAGCAAGAGCAGGGTTGCGCAAAAATGTCATCTATTCCTCAGCCTTACCCACTCAGCAAGATCAGGGTTATTAAGGGGGTGGGTGGGGAATGGATTATCTAGTTCCAATTAAGCCATGAAAGTTTTCACTTAGTTGAAAGAACACCAACTCAAATGTTAGAGAGGATATAAATCTGTCCAGTTTCCAGCAGTGTTACTTTTCCATAGCCCAGAAAAACCATTGTTAAAATCCAGACAGTATACAAAGTTATGCCACACCCTGTGTCTTGGGGTCTTGTGTCGGTGTAGTTTTGTTTGGCACATCTACATCTGCTACTGCAACAAAGAGCAGAGGGTCAAAGTCTACTGCTGGATTAACTCTACCACACAGAAATAAGCACAGTACATACACAGTAGACTAACAAATACATTTGTACACAGGGTATCTGTGCACAGGGTATGTGTGTAACAACACTGTCACTCATACTGTACAACTGCAATATGGTCACCTAGCTGTCAGTCCAATATTAACACTTATGCAGTTTGGGAAAGCAGTTATTGAAGCATTGAAGCAATTATGCAGAAAATGTTATAAGCTGCTTTCCCCAGGCCAGAGTGTTCCTTGTATTCCTCAAATCTGTACACATGTGTAATCGATGAAGCTGACAAGACAAGAGAAGTTTGAACAGTGAGTCTGACTTACTTGGTGGTGAATCTCCATTAGTTGCTGTTGGGGGCACCTCCACTATGTACCCTGTAGTCTTCACAAAGTCCTGGAAGTTCACATCCTTCAGTTCCTTCCCCAAAACCTCCAGGTCCTTGTTCTTCTGGTTTATCTCATTTTCCACATCTTTGATTTGCTCCTCCACCTGGGAGAGTTCCTGGGTGTAGCGGGTGTGCTCCTCCAGCTGCTGGGCAATCTCCTTCTTCAGGTCCTGGATCTCTGCGCTCAGCTGCTGCTCCTGCTCTTTGGCACTTTCATTACTGATTTTTTGCTTCTCCTTCTCCTGGTCTATTTCCTGCATCAGCTTGTCCACCTTTGCTAAGAACTGCTGCAGCTGTTTCTCCGTGTCGGCAATCTGCGACTGAACTCTGGTGATGTCTGTCTGCAGTCTGTCCCGTTCTGCGAGCTCCCTGGCCAGTTCCATCTCCACTATTTCCAGGGACTGGAGCTGTCTCTCATACTCCTTCCCGAGAGATTCGAGTCTGCCGAGTTCCTGGCTTTGGTTGCTGGACACCGTCTCCTCCATTAGCTCGTAGTCTCGAATTTCAGAGTCTAGCTTGGTCAGCTGACACTTCTGAAAGTTCAACTTGTCCTGTTGGAAGCGCACGATCTTCATCAGGTCATCGTACGACCTGTCTGGATGATGGGTCACCTTTTCTTGAAACTCTTTTGCCTCAAACTCAGCTTTGGCACTTACCTGTGAGTTCAGTGACTTTCTCAGAGGCTCCTTTCGTTGGTTGGCAAATCCCTCTTTAGACACAGCCTTTGGAGGAAGGCTCTGTCGTAAGAACGTTCTTTCTGGCGGGGCGGGTTTTGCCGACGAGGGACGCTTCTTTGTGCTTCCCGACTTACGCAGGAAGTAAGTGACGTCATTTGCATACTGGCCCCACTTTGCAACATTTTTGAACGGCGCCTCCGTGGGTGGAACGAGGCGCTCCATGTCCCGCCATTTTTCCACCAGCGTGAAACGTCCGGTTTTCCCCGTGGCCTGAGCGAGGGCGATGACGATTTCCTGGCAGGTGGTTTTCTCTGTCACGCCGCACACCACACGCTGGATACCCTCAACCCACACCTTCATCTCCATCTCGCTGTTTTCTAGTTACAAAATAGTTGCACAGAATTCAAGGCAGGCAGTTCCACAGAATTCACTTCACAGTTCATGCTGCTCCATCTAGAATTCATCAGGGAGGGAACTCTTTTGGGAAGTCACATGTTGGCTAAAGCGGTCCTGTTGATGTGTGTTGAGCAGTTGATGGAGCTACAGTGTTCTTCACAGGAACAGGACTCCTCATCAGGTCATCTGGAAAATAATGCGGCAACCATTAGATTTTGATGCAATATATCTTGACCCAGCAATAAGAAGAAAAAAATGTAGGCATTAATATGCAGATTTCTGTTCTAGGTCCACTTAAAGTACATCAGACCATCGGTCTTTTTTGTTGTGTCAACAAACTCATAAAAACTCTAAATACTATCAGGTTTGAAATTTCGAGATTTCATCTTTGACTTCTTCTTCTTCTTCTTCTTTCCCGTACGTGCACAACCTCAATAAGTTGAGGGCTCCGGCACGGTGAGGGGTAGGGGTTTTTGGTTTGGATTTGGGGTGTCGCTCTTATTTTGTATTGTGTATATGATGTGTATATATATGTTGTTGTAGTCTGTTGGCTACAGACTTCCTACCTACTCTGCAGTACCACATTGATCTAAAAGGAGGCTCTTCTAACCATAACTTCACAATGCTGCCAGCTCTGTCCAAAATACAGGATTCGAGTCACGCAGCCTTTCACAATGTCATACAACAAAGACCATCCCTAGCCCTTCAGGTTCTTGTGTAAGTAACTAGAAGGTCAAAACCTATTGGAATGTCTTCTATCTTTTCTCATGGTCAACATTCCCATATTTAAACAGGGCCACATTTTTTGTCAACCAGCAGAGAGTCCATTGGATATCCAGTGGGGATGATGGAATCTGAACCTGTCAACGCCTAATGGTCCCACAGAGGGATGTCTGGTATGATACAGTCATTTCTGAAGAATCCACAGCCACACTCACACATGGCCATGGACGTTAGCACATAGGGCAGTGTAGTAACAGAGGAGAATGATTTTTATAGTATTAAAAAAAGTCTACTACCATTTATTCATTGATTCATCAAAAGCAATGAAAGCTAACATTTTACTTCTAACATACTACATGATGCATCTAAATTTGTTCTTCACACAAATATTACGTGATCATAACACAACTCTTGTCCACTCTGAATCCTCATATGAACATTTTGATCAAAAGTAAACCCCATGTGCAGTCAGTTATAACCTTCTAAACCCCTTCAATATCCTCCTGAAAGGAAGGTCTGTTCCAGCTTCTGTCAACACCATTTCCATACCTTGTGGGTCTGACCTAGATCTTTTGGAGATCTGTATCTACAGTGTTATCTGTACATGTAACTATTGTAAGACACAAATGACACAAGGGAAATCACAACCTATTAGTGCAAGAGATATGGACTAAGACAGCTGAAGGAATAATGACGGCAGGGTGAACCATAAAAATGAAGGGTTTCAGTCAGACATGTTTTTATGTCTATCTGAAATTAGCCCAATGAAATTTGTTATGTGGAATACAATTACTGGGTTATGAATTTGCCATATGTACCAGTAGGCAACAAGTGAAAATTCTTAGGTGTTGCTGTGTCATTTTGATCAATAGTTGCCTGAATTGAAACAGTTCAGCAAAGATATCAGGATATGCCAGTAATGTCTGGATGACAAGCATTCTCATAGACAAAACAAGCTACAGTACAGAAGTATCTGAAAGTTAGGCATACAAAATACAAACCTGTCCATTTTGAATGTGAAACCATCCAGGTCCTTTAGACAGAGGAGATGAGTAGAAAAAAACGAGGGGATGTTTTTCTTGTTTTTGCATCCTCCTCTACAACTATGGATATAAAAATGATTCTACTTTACATAGGTCCTGTCAGTGGGGAGGGCTCCATACCCCTGTATAAACATGTGAAACCTGCTATCTCCCTTTCACTACCACCTAATTATAGGACAAATAAACAAGAACACCACATGTTTGTCTACTGCCCATCAATTAATGTCCAGCCACTTCAAGAACTGGCAATATCAATGACTTACTTCTGCAATGGTCAGACAAGG